CTCATTTTTAAATTGTTTGTTTATTTGAGGAAATTTCAATCATTCATTTTTATTGTTACGTTGCTTTATTTGGGCAACAATATGCAATGAATTAAGTTCCAAGTGAAGACGAAATAAAAAAGAATGAAAAAATAATTTAATGTGTAAGCAAAGAAGATCACACCGTGTCGTTTTGTTCTGTTATGATTGAATGTCGCGACGGCTTTCTCTTCACACACAATATGTGTAGCTGCTTTTGTGTATTTAAATGTTTACAAAGGCGGTGACACCTCCCAGTCGTATACATTGTTTAATCATTTGTAGATTGCATTTAATATTGTGGGATGGCTTGTCATGTAGTCTTCAAATACAAACCAAAATTTTCATATTATTGTGTGTGAATAAATAATAAAATAAAGCGAGCTCAATAAAATCCAATTAAAATTGAAATAAATAGAATACGATTACATTTTTTTTTCTCTCTCTTCATTCATACGCTTTATATGTCGATGGGGGGCTTACTTGCTTGTGATGTGGAGAATACAATTATTACAAAAAAAAAGTATAACAAGAGTTCTGTGTATGAAAATAATTCACACTTATTGTTACCATTGTTGATTTTGTTTGCAAATTTTATGGGGCTTCCGATTTTAATTTTTAATTTCTTCCATTCTGTGCTTCATTTTATTTAGCTATTGAGCCGTCAAATAAACAATTCTATGGAAAATTTGATTTATGTACGAATGTTTTATTATTTGTCATATCCATTATTACAAATTGCTGGTAATGAAGTGAAAATTTGCATGTGTACATGTTTACTGTATGGCGGTGTACATTACGCACTTTTTGACTACGAATAACATTAAAATGAGGTTTAAGCAATAAATTCTGATATAGGCAGATGATGCTTTATTTAATTCATTAGGATTTTTCATTCCAATTGACTGGATTTTATTTGCTTAATTTTACAATAAATGGAAAAGTGTTGGAAGAACTAAAATAACTTTTTCATGATGACCAAATGTCTCTCGTCTACAAATGTTTAGCTTTTGTGATTTGTTTGCAGTCTAAAGCATTTGTGACAAATACCATTAATTTAATTCAAAATTCAAAACATGCCGACATTGTGACATTTCACGGATTACATAAAAAGTTTACAATCGATCAATCTACAGATTATAAAAAAATGTTAAAGTTAGCCATACAAGTATGAATGTATATCTTTATAGTTTATAACAAGAAAAGTCTTGTAAAAGTAATAATAAGGTCAGTCTAAGACTAAAAATTGTGCTTGAAAATCTTGTCCAAAAGTGAATTAATTTCGGATTATCGATTTGACAAGCTGGAGCATTGAGATTAAAAAGCTGCGCAAAGTAAGCAAACATGAAGTGAATTAACACAACAAGTGAAAAAAAAATATGACAGCCAACGCAAAATTTTTTTTTATTAAATTAACATAATTTATTAACATTTTTTTAATTTTATTAATATTTCAACAGACTCAGCAAATTGTACATGAAATCAAGAGGTAGAGCTTGAAAATTAAAATAAAATGGGAAAATATTGTGACCGCAGGAAAGATTTACTGATGATTCATTTGTTTTTTTTTCATTAAACATTAATTTTTCATTGACATAAATTAAAAATGAAATGAAGGTAATTATAGGCTCGTTCTCTTGTGTATCTCGTGCGGTTGATTAATTTTTAGCATGATATTCAGGAAGAATGCTGAAAATTTTGTTATGTCCTGGAGAATCATGGCATTTTCACATTTTGATACTTGACATTCCAATGTTAACTTTAAGCAAGGCGTTGAAACTATCCCAAATATCATATTTATCCAACATATCCCAAAAATATTCAAAAAATTCCTGAGCATGTATGCACGATAATGAAGATGGTTTAAATGGGATATTTGGGATAGTTTCCACGCCTTGACTTTAAGGTAGCTGCTCTAGTTAAAAACCTACTTGAGGGCAGACTATAGCTGTCGTTTATGTCCTTTGAAATCTATTAAATACAGCACGAACAAAAGTAATGGCCATCCACCACCAAATGATCCGGAAATCCACATTAATCATTAATTTTCGTCAGGATATCTTTTAAAATTCAAAAAGTCGCCTTTATCTTTACATCCGCATGACTTCATAACTCAATGCACCGGATAATTTTAGGGTTAAAAACGTTTTTTTCCTTTGATCTTTGCCGATAATTTCTGTCAATTAAAACCGCTTCTCATGCTTCAGTTTTAAATTTCTTTGCATATGCCGCTAATTAATCAAACAAAACAACGAGGGGTGCATTGAAGCCATTTATCGCAGTTATCGTTAATATAAATAGGTAATGAGGTTTCTTTGAAAATTATTTTTTATTGTCTTATTATTTTATGAAAAATTTAACTCAGTGCTAAAATGAGGTTTTTTGCTACCACACTAAAAAATTATACTTCTCTCGGTGCTGTGCAGAGTCAAGTAAATTAAAAAACTTTTTAATCATAACAATTCATGAATTTTTTTTTGCAGTCATGAAAACTACTTTGCTGCTACCTTTTTGAGCTTCCTTTATTCTTTGGACTTGAAAGAGTGAAAATGAAGTTGTAAATGGAAGTTGCATGTTAGCGTCTTTTTGAATGATTTTAATTTGTGTAGTTTTTGTGAACAACTATAACGAATAAAACTAAAATTCTGGGTATCACAACTAGAGAAGCGTAAAACCGTCCATACGAAAATATTTCAAGGTCTCAAATTGTCTCATTGTTGTCGACGAAGGAGCCATATTAACAGTTAAAATAGAAACAAATGAAAGTAATGGAGTTTGAAATCTAAAATCTCTTAACGATGGGAGTTTCAGGACAATAATTCAAAGTTTTTGCTGTGGAAAAATTGTTAAAACTTGATTGAAACCTTTTGTCTGAAAGACAGAACTTTCATATACCTACAATGATGCAATTTTACTTCATAAGCCTGAAAAAAATTGCTCAAAAAGAAAAGCGCAAAACTTTTTAATTCAGAAGAATATAACACTGAATTATTCTGGTTAGTGTGAGAGCAGCATAAAAGAAAGAAAATTAAAATTTAATGCTTGCAATTTTCTCATCGCCCAACTTCCAAGTCCCTTATTTTCTGTGCTATAACGCGAAAAAGAAGAGAAAAGGGCGAAAAAAAACAAGAAAGCTTATTACGAGTTTATAACCTTGCTAAGCATAAAGGAAAGTAGAAGAAACGAAAGATCCAGTGTGACTTACTTTAAGGAAAAGAAGCATCTTTCGAATTGCTATGAAAATTATGATGATTTTAAGGTGAGAATTAATTATTAATTTAATTAGATTTTTCATGAAAATAGCTTTTGCTCTTAGTTACTATAAAAGTGGAGCAGATGCTTATGGGAGCTGTTTGAGAATTAGATGCTGCTTTTTAAAGGTCATTTTATAGTCACAAATAATGTAGAGATGGGAAATTTTAATTTAAATGCACGTTTAGATTGAAATTACATGGATATAATTGTTACAGACGAATGCTCAATGTGAGGAAGGACGTATAGCTATGAGCTTGTTAAGTTGATTGTCCGAAAACAAATTTATTGACAGATGGATGAATACAAGCTCCCTTTTATAATTTTAGTATACATCACTTGCGAATGGCTCCAAAGTCAGTTTTATAGCTCTCGTTTTAAAATGTCTTAAAAAAAAATCCTCAGATGACAATAATTTGTTTACGAGAAATTTGAAACAAAATCTATAAAATTTAGAAGATCTCATTAAATATTCAAATCATTCATGTGTCTGAACGTACGCATCTATATAATCTACATTTACAATATTACACGAAAAAATCCGTAGCATAATCTAAAATTCAAACAACATTATTTACAAGTCTACAATGACTCATCAAAAGCTATTTTTATTTCCTATCTAAAGCCATAAAAAATATAAAATTTGATTAGCAATTTGAAATTCAGCAGAATCTCCCCAATAAATTTAAATTTAATCTAGTATACACTTACAAAACATCTACAACATAAGCTAAAATGTTGCTCCCCAAAATAAAAGTTTAAAATTTATCTAAGAAAATTTGCATTACAAAAAAAAATCTATTTTTTTTGGAAATTAAGAAGAAAAAAAGAAAAGTATCTATCGACCCTTTCCTGACGATTTTATTCTTATTCTCAGCCATTCTTTTTGCTTAAGTTTTCGAGAAGAAGAAGAAAAAAAAATCAGATCACGTTCGAGCACATGAAAATTGTTAATGAATATTTGTGTACTCAGTTCATCGAATGTCAGAATGATTTAAGGGTTGCTGATTGCAAATAAATATATATCCAGAAGATAAGGATATAGAAGAAAAATATCCGTCAACATTGATCAATGTAGTCGGTAGACTTAACTACATTTGATGACTGAAATTCCCTCTTCAATTTTGTGCCATCATATATGTATCAGTTGGGATGCAAGTAAGAAAAAAGAGTGATAGGTAGTAGAATGGATGGATGAAAGATACATCTATAAAATAAAGAAATTGAGGGTTTTGACGCATATTACGGAGAATGAATCAGATTTACGTGCTGTGAATGAAAATCATACAAAAACATTTTTGGAAGAAGAGAAAAAATTGTGCGGTGATTAATTCACTCAAATGCATCTTTTGGTTAGTTACTGAAAATGAAAAGGAAATGAAGACAGAAGAAAAATTTACATTCTCATCGTGTATGAATGCAAAATGAATTTTTAATATTCTGGCAATTTTCATCTGTCTACTTATGAAATATAGTCTTGGGGGAATCTTTTTATTGCAATATGATTGAAGAAAATTCAGGTTTAATAGTTCATTATGAATTTTTTAATTACCGTACACAAAAAGGTTCCAACAAAATGAGATTTTATATTTTATAGCAGATATATTTCTTTCATAAAAGCTAGACGTCATTTATTAACGAATCCTAGTTTTTTTTAAAAAAAAATAATGTTTTTAAAAATTAAACTTTTTAGTAAATTACAATGATTATGCATTACAGTGACTATATTATTATTTTATCATGCAATTATTCATTTTGCATTACTAACATTATTTTTGCCAAAAAAATTATTTATTGTTCATTTATTGTCTATTTTTATATCTGTGATGTTGTCCAGAGATGTCAATTATTTGAGTCATTACTTTTTCTAGAAATATTTTGAATATTCCAAGTAGTTCACAAAAACCCCAAATACGCAAATATTTGCGCATTTGCATCATCTGCATCATCATCTCTAATGTCGTCTCGTGATGCAAATTTATTGTTCTTATTAAATCTAGAATAATAAAATATAAATAAATCTAAATTATATTATTCAAGTTTATGCAAAGTTTTGAAAAATTCAGGCTTCAGAACAAGAGAGGATGCGACTCAGGGACGAGGCATAGAATTCTACGTGAAACTAATCTTATTTCAACGGCCCCAAAAATCCACATATTGGAGTCCTCAATAATAATATGACGCAATATGTGCAAAATATATAAGACGCAATAATTCTAAGCCTTGAATCACTTAGATCGACCTCGACTCGATCACCCCACTAAGCTTCATCCTATTATTCGAGTATAATTAAGTTTTAAAATTTATATACAAACCTTTTCATTAAGAAGTATTTAAATTTGGAATTGCAAACAAAAGTCACAAATATTATAGGACCTTGCATGTTGAAGAACACAAAAGCAACAAAGTATAGTCTGGGATCTCCAATCAGATTGGAACTGACTTCAATTATCCAATGTATTCCCATAACAATAGCTAGTCGCAGATAAAGTGATGAACTGCAAATCAAAGTATTAAGAAATTATAAGTTTAATAAATTAAGAAAATGCTAATACTCATTAAAATTTATGTTGTTCTTGGAAAACACTCTGTTGGATGTTCGTCTGTGGCATGCAACAGTAACTTTGTTATGCTTGTAGATCTTTACGCAAGTAAGTGTATAAATAACGATGTTGATAATCAAGCAAAATGCTAATGGTCCGAACATATAAATAGCCTTAAGCTCTTTAGCTTGGCTTGTAAAAATTTTACATGAGTTTACACCAATTTTGTTATTATATTTTTCAGGAACAAGTTCAAAATGATTCAATATGAAAAATATGGTTTCAATAATTACTGGAATTCCAAAAGCATAAAGACAGTATCGGATGAATATCATGTTGCTATCAATCTTCACTTTCGACCTATAAAAGGATTATTTACTTTTTTTCTGATAAATTATGGACAATTCATATCATACTTAAATGTCACCCAAATATCATAACACATCACATTTGACCAAAAACAACAGCATAATATAGCTGTCATCCACATATATCCAAGTACTGTGCATATTTCGGTGTGTTGTTCTAATAAATCTTTATTATTGAGCTCAATTATAGATGATGTTGCGTAAAGAATGGCAAATGAGAATACATAAGACATTAGGCATTTACCATGAAGATTTCTTATTTCAGAAAAGTATCCATAAACAATGAATGTTACCACAAGAAATGGAATTGATGACAACATGACTAAATTATAAAAAAATATTGATTTAGTTTATGTTATCCAAAAATATTCATGAACTTACAATATGGACACATTTTATATCCTGAATAGAAGCCATTTTCATCAGAAGGAAGTAGAAATGAGTTTTTAAATTCATTCTCGAATATTCCATAACAAATGTTGAGAAGCAATGCAATTAAAAGCAAACAAATTATAGATCCTTTATGTTCCATTGATTTTTTGATTAATTCACTTCTACTTGGGTTGACTTTTGATGTGCAACTAATTATATTTATATTTAAATTTGACTTATAAAATTAATTTATTAACAGGGGGAGAAGTACTGCCAGCAAAGTATTTCCACAAATTTCTTTGGTATAAAATTGATCTTAAATTTTGTTTAATCTGAAAAAAATAATTGTGCAAAATATTTTACTCCCAGCCGTCTTCCCCCTGTTCAAATGAGTTATCATGATGAGTCAAATTGATGAATTCAAAGTTGGATGGATGAGTTCAAGTAATTTCAATTTAATTTGAATGAATTTTCGAATTTGTAAATTTAGGAATAGTGAAGAAAAAAATGGAAATCGTATGACAATTCAAGTATATTTGTTCTATAAATCGCATGCACATAGAATTAAGATCAAGGCGTGGAAACTATCCCAAATATCATATTTATCCCACATATCCCAAAAATATTCAAAAAATTCCTGAGCATGTTTGCACGATAATAAAGATATCCCAACGTATCCTTAGTGCATTGGACGTGTACTTTCAGGATATGATGGGATATCTCAATTCTAATGCATACAGGCTCAGGGATTATTTTGAATATTTTTGGGATATGTGGGATAAATGGGATGTTTGGGATAGTTTCCACGCCTTGATTAAGATTCTCTTAAAATACTTCCATATATGCAAATATCCTTATTCGGTAAAATTAATTCAAAAGATGTAAACGAAAGAAAAATGATCAGCCATTCAATAAGCATAGCATGAACTTGGCATTTACCTTTCTTGATTATTAGCTATTAAGCCACATCGCTTCTATCTTTATATCTATACTTATCTGCATAAAAAACAATAAAGGAATTCTCCTCATATTCTACTTCCATTATTCCTCGTTTCAATTTTTTCTTTACTGTCAAAACTTATTTATTCATCCATCTATACACACATAGTATATATGTCTAGAAATACATATGTGGATTAGTAAAAGTGGGGATGATAATAACATAAGAAGTTTATGTGTATATATCAACACTGAATCATATTTTCCTTATTTTTACCCTCTTATGTGTCACACATGTATGTTTTTGTCGGTGAGATAAGGGGAGAAATTGGCGGGGGTGACAAAGTTAAGTGTAGAAACTTACAGTTACAGTTAATGTTGGATAAGACGCTTCCAATACTTCAATTAAGAATAAGTGCTCCATTTTATTACATTGTAGATAGAGGTTTTGTGGATCCAAAGTAACGATTTTTAACTGGGCATCTACAGTTATTATTATTATTTATTTGTCGACGTTACCGTCCGGAAGAATTAGTATTTATACATGTTTTACTTTTTACATTGATTAGTGACACATTTCATATCACTATGGGTGACGTAGAATCAAGCTTCTAATCTTCAAATCTAGGTTTCGATCGTTTCGATTAAATTCAGGCTCTCGTTTTAATCTTCTGTGGGCGTGACGTGATACATTTCAGGTCCGTTCTGACAATATTCCATTATAAGGTAATCTTGTAGCTCTCGTTCCTTTTTCTCCCGCTACACTTCAAGTTCCTGATCCGTTCCTTAATCCAACGTTGCCCAAAATGCCCAATTATGGCTTGATCTCGTACATTAAGCAGTCGAAGTATCTAAACTTCTGAAAAAGAACAAATTTGGAAATGGCTGGATTCGAAACTACGACCTTCGAGTTACCATACCATAGCAAGGCACTTAACTGCTTCTAGTGATGCATATTGGCGAGCGAACCATTAAGTAAAGAATCACAAACATTTGAATAATCAAAATCAATTCCCTCAAAAAGTCCTATAAGAAAATCAAAGACAATGTGACAATTCAATCTGCTGAAGACAACTCAATTATATGAAATATAATAGAGATCCACTAAAACACGAAGCGACATGACAAGGAATTTTGTGAATGTTAATCAAGCTTCAATATGTGCGTATCGAGTGGGAAAGTTCGAGAAATAAAAGCAACAAGAATTTTCTTTTTCATAAAAATAGAGATGCCTTGGGATATGCTGAAATCACTAAAATATAGAAAATTATTGAGCTGTCTATAAAATTTTAGCAAATTAGAGGATAAATTCTTTTCTTTACTCCCCTTTTTTCATTTATGTTGTGGAAATATGAAGAACATATTTAATGGATTAATAGAATTTAATGAAATTATTTACGATGCGCTACATTTTTCACTTAGTTGACTTTATATATATGTGGGAATCTCATTAAATTTTCATCTTTTTTTACTCGCGCGGAATGAGTTGAAAAATGTAAAGTGTGAAAAGAGGCAATGAAGGTTTTTAATCAAGTAATTTTATGAGTGTGATGTACGTACATCTTCATTTTTCAACTGAATGCTTTATGATACAATAATTCCCAGCTCTTTAATGCTTTCATCTCACATGACATGTAAATGCTTTTTTTTTCTACAATAACACCTTTATGTGTAAAAGCAAACGACAATGGAATGCATTGAGAATTTCTTTACATATTCTAGTTTCTCTGTGCTTTATTGCTGCAAAAACAGAAATTTTTGCAAGAACGCGCACAATTTTGTTTTTGGTGCTCCATTTTCATTCATTTGTGCTTTTTTTGTTTATTTGTAAACGGAAGCAGTAAAAAGCATGAAAGAGAGAAAAATTTATTTATGACATGCAAAAAATGTTTGTGGAAGCTTTTGCTGACATAAATTTCACTCTACAAATTTCGCTTCCTCATATACGAGGACATGAAATTGCTTGACATAATGAATTCCGTAACAACTATGGCTAAAAGAGGATGAATTGAAAATAAATTAGAACAGTTTATTTAATGCCAAATATATAATTTCTGTACGATTTTTAAATAAATTTCGAGTGGAATTTAATTAAAGAGTCGATCAAAAAAGACGTGTGCTTAAAATAAACTTCCTTTTGTTACAAGGATCGAGTCGACTCGATTCTACGAATCAATTTAAAAATTTGTAAATTTAGCAACCTATGGAAAGAGGAAGACCATAGAATACCTGGATTGGATGTATTGATAAGGACGCTAGATTCCTTAATATCCCGAACTGGCAGAAGATCTCAAAGGATAGAACTGTCTTTAGACGATCTCTGAACGCGGTAATATGCCCACGTGCGCCCAGCCAAGGAAAAAATAACAATAATAATAATGTGTGGAGGCACTGCGACTCAAATTAGAACAGAATCTATTGTACCACACCCTTTAGACCTACAGTTTATAGTGGGATCCGAACCACTTGCAAGCTCTGCACATTGCAAAGACACGAGTACGTCATAAGACCTGATGTACCTTACAATATACCTAGTCACAATTCGTGTGCGCAAAATGCAGTAAGGAAGTCATCCAGATGCTAGTATATCCTTGTATACCTAGCAAAGGAGGCATATTCTATGCCAAAGACATCAATACTACACCCAACACACGAACCGAGCTTCGTAACTAGAACGATGAAATGGAAAAAGAGCTTCGAAAATTAGACATGGCCTGGGATTGAACCCAGGACCTATGGCACAGAAGGCCAACGCTCTACCATTTAGGCCAATGATGCCATTTCACAAGCCAAGGAAGTAAGTAAGTAAGTATGAAAAGAGGCTGTTGATAGAGACAGTATTGCATTTGGTATAAAAAATTGGCAAGCGGTAGCTAGTGATAGAGCCAGTTTTAGGTGGCATCTGAGGAACGTCATGGATCACAACTGATCTGTAAGTAAGTTAAGGCACCTATATACAGTTTCTATCTAAGTCTTTATGAACTTTAAATATCTAAGTAGATGTGAACTTTTTAAAGTGAATGTCTGGCTAGTGCTTTTTTTTATTGAGATACCATCCCATCCCATGATATGGAATATGTGCCAAAATATCACAAATTGATATGAACAACTTCCAGTTTCAGACTTTATTCCACTTAATCACCAGTAAATAAAATGCAATAAGCCTTAATTTTCGATTATCATGCATTTAATTATTATTTCATGCATTATTATTATTATTATTATTATTATTATTTGTTTATTCAGATTCTTTAGATTGCAAAGGAAAAGCCATTCTAAACAGTTTTAACAGTAACTGTTGAAATCGGCATAAAAACCTTTGGTCTTAGAAATAAATTAACAAAAGAATTGTAAATATGAGATTCAGCGTTCAAAGAAGAACATTAAAGATCTCAAATTTGTAAAAATATTAACATTATTGACATACAATGGGATTTAACGGTTTTTTCAGTATTTAAAATTACAAATGGTGAAATTGGTAACTAAAAAGTTTTGCAAAAATAAGCCAAGCTAGTGTTTACATTAAAATAATTTGAAAAAAAAAAAAAATAACTGACTTTGGTGCAAAAAATCCAATAGTTAAGCATTTGGACATTGAAGAAGATACGAAGAAACTTTGAGAACCATTGAGGGAACCAGCATACAACATGATACTAGGTGAATTGTTCCAATGAAGCATATATGAAGAAGTAGATATTGTTAATTTGTTTTTTTATGTTTTAGGTCAACTTTCAAGCTTCTTCAGGAAATTGGCAGATAGAAAGACTGACATCATATCTTCATTACGGATGTAGCATTTTAGGGCCCATTTAAAAGCATGCATTTGTGGTAAGTTTTTTAAATCTTTTGGAATTTCATTAAAAATTGAGACACCAAATGACGTAATTCTTTTCTTTCCATAGTTTGATTTTGATAGCGGCTTTCTTAATCCACCAGTACTTCTCGTTCTGTTACTAGCTGCAACTTTATCCAAAACTATGTTTGAGTGGATTTTTTTGGACAGGTTGCTGT